ATCCCATTTCCTGTGCATATTTCACTTAATTACACCCTAAAAAGTAACGGTAAATCAATTGACAATTTCCGAGTTCTTTGTAAAGAAGAAAGTTTATTCCATTCCCACCGAAAGCTGGTGCACGCTGTGGGGTCACTGACTGTACTTCTAGTAGTTTATCAAGTACGCACGAGATGCCATATGATGAAACCTATATTATTCCTACTAAATGGTCATACTGAATTAGTAATTAATATTAAATGAAATGTTTTTTATTTAAGGGTATTGTGGTATTATATTCACCTGTCAAATCAGTTCCCACAGCTTACAAACTGGAAATCTTATCAACACATTCCGGCATCACAGTGCAAGATTTTATTTTTGTTTTCTATTTCTTTCACAAATAGGCATTACTGTTCCATAGTGACGTAACTGTTTACTTGTCTTTACATATATAATATTTTCTGTTAATGTAAAGGCTGCTACTTTACTACATTTCTATGTATCAAATAATCACACACGGTGACTATGTTATCCTCGTAAAATCCAACATTTAAGAACAGCAAATTTAAATTTGTAATTTTAGTTTTCATAAGAATATTAATGCCTGGTAACAAACGCTACACTGTTTCCGTAGATGCAAAATCACGTAGTAGTGGAAGCCCATCTAGTCATGTAGAAAACAGATTTCCAGTCAAGATTGGCCTTAAATTGTTTGACTTCATGTCCCACAGACTTGAAATGGCTTGAAATGCTTCGCATTTCCCATCAAACGCCTTCAGCGTTGAATGTCTAGGATACACAATTACATTAGGCCCGAGGACTTGCGACAGTCTAGCCAATAACGTGTCAAATTCCATTGCTAAGCTAATTTTCTACCAATTCACTTTTAATTGAAAATTTCCATTTTCCACACAATACCGATAAAAATTATCAAGAAATAGACTGTCTGTGAATATAGACTAGCGGCTAATATAGATGTTAGTAAGTGTGAGTATAGACTAGCGGCTAATATAGATTTTAGTAAGTCTGTGAGTATAGACTAGCGGCTAATATTGATTTTAGTAAGTCTGTGAGTATAGACTAGCGGCTAATATTGATTTTAGTAAGTCTGTGAGTATAGACTAGCGGCTAATATAGATTTTAGTAAGTCTGTGAGTATAGACTAGCGGCTAATATAGATTTTAGTAAGTCTGTGAGTATAGACTAGCAGCTAATATAGATTTTAGTAAGTCTGTGAGTATAGACTAGCGGCTAATATAGATTTTAGTGAGTCTGTGAGTATAGACTAGCGGCTAATATAGATTTTAGTAAGTCTGTGAGTATAGACTAGCGGCTAATATAGATTTTAGTAAGTCTGAGTATAGACTAGCGGCTAATATAGATTTTAGTAAGTCTGTGAGTATAGACTAGCAGCTAATATAGATTTTAGTAAGTCTGTGAGTATAGACTAGCGGCTAATTTAGATTTTAGTAAGTCTGTGAGTATAGACTAGCGGCTAATATAGATTTTAGTAAGTCTGCGAGTATAGACTAGCAGCTAATATAGATGTCAGACGAGCACTTTTCATTTTTTTGGCTATATTACCTTGATGTCCTATAGTATGAATGTTTAGATAAGCGCATCATTATACGAACCCCAAAACATTTGTAATGTTTACCTTCCACAAGTAAATATGACAAATAATACTTCAAGAAGAAGCCAGTTACCATGTTGCTTGTGAACAACAGCCTCAAATTGAGTAAGTGAATGAACATACTATTAATTCTTATGCAAGAACACACAAACTTGGTCTAATTATTCTGGCTCATAATACTGAAATCTGGGTTACTGCCTAGGACAATCTTTAAACCAAAATTAATTTAATTTGGGGTATGTGTGAGACGGTGAATGGTGACAACAACGTAGCCAGCATAATAATAAACTATGTACATACACAAATAAGTCGAAGGTGTCTGGTCTGAAACAATTCGTAGAAATGCTCATTTGGCGTCCATGACATAATCGAGAATCGTGCGCATGTCATAGAACATAAAAATGCAAAACACTTATAAGGTGTTTGAACCTTTGGAATTATGTGTTAAAAGTGCAGAGTATTTTAACCAATACTACTCGTAAATTACTTGGAATATATTAACATCTCGGCTACACCTGATAATACGGATATTAAATGATATGCATAGAAAATTGACACACACTGAGACATGTAATATTTGTAAAATATCTGTGTGAACCTTAAACGTAACTGTTGTATCCAAGACCCATTTCTACATAAAACACATGAATGCATTTTATGTGGAAATTGCAAATACATTTACGGGGGGGGGGGGGCAAGGGTTATTTTCGTTCAACGTAATTTCAATATTTTTTTGTTCGTACAACGTAAATAGAAAAAATAAATTCCGTAATTCTGTAATCACAGGCTAGACGTACAACGTAATCAATCAAATATTTTTTTCGTAAAATGTAAAAATGTGTCATTTTTCTCGGTACGTACAAGAATTTACATCCAAATAAAAAAAATCGTAAAAAAAAATCTAGGGAAATTACATTTCAGAAACTGTAAAACGACTAGATGACACAATTCACTACAAAATTGAATGTCCAAGACGTAAAAGGCCCTCTAACCGAATGAAGAGCATTACGAGGGTAATATGCGCATGCGTCTCTACGCACGGCGCAGTAATGGCGGAGCATTTGAGTCGGAGAACTCTTTGGACCATTTAATGTTCCATTTTGTAACATTGTAAACTGTAAAAACGTCTTTTTTTCCTTGTAAATTGTAAAAAGCCCTTTTTATTTCCCGTAAAACCGTACCAGCTACCCCCTTGCCTCCCCTCATTTACAAACCATGCATAGATTGCAGTTGTCACAACACATGTGCGTTTAAGTACTCGATGAGGCTGGCACAACGGCAATATATTTTTGGTTAAATATACATCGCGACTAACGAGCGAGCATCTCATACAGACATTCACATCACAGTATACACTAACTTTGCAATGCGTTATTGTTAAAGCGGGAGGGTCGTCACCTGCGCACGCGCGGGAATTGAGTCCCAAGCGACGACAACACATGCTAAAACGCAAAGGCTCATGGGTAGACGATTGTTTGTAAACAATGACACCCTACAATACATGGAATTTTAGTCAGATTAAGACAAATTAAGATTAAGATAAATATACCTTGTTTTTGGTCAGTGTGTGCCGTCAAATATTTGTTTTTATTTTGAGATCCCATGTTTCTTAGCATTTAAGGGTGTAGTAGACTTTATCCTCGGGGGCGGACATCCGGGCATTTTCTACCGCCTGGCAACCCTCGCGGTGAAAACAAAGACCAAAAACTCGCAGAAAACGGTACTTTGCGATGGTTGTTGAGAGTCCCCTGAACAGTGTAACAAGATTAGCCCTACGTGTGTAACATATATGAATTTGGTTGTTCAGGATTACTTCAAAGTTGAGTTTGTGTTGTTTTCTCGAGTTTTCACCGGCGTTCCACAGCAGCGCGCACAAAGCCCCATAGAAATACGTGGTACAGTGGTGCGTGTCATAGCAACGTAGAACGTCCGTGACGTAGCTCCGCCCCCGAGGATAGCGCAAAAACAAAACACTAAGTTTAAAAATGCCACTAATTAATGCAACAAAAATTTAACTATAAAGCTGTCAATGTGAAGTAGTAAAACACAATTGAATTGTATCACTACAAAACATGGCGAGGGATTTCTTTAGACACTTCCTTTATTTCCTCTCTCAAATGCGATGTGTGAGGGCTCACTTCAATTACGCCAGCTTGTATGACCTTTTGATTGTCAATAAACTGTGACCAATTTCAAACCAGATGTTTGAAAGTACGAAACTTAAAAAACGAGTTTTTGGTTTCCAACTATTTATTTATGAACTTGATATCTGTTTATCTCAAAGAAGTTAATAAAAACAAGTGCTTTTAGCAACTCAGAACACTTTCATTTTCAAGTTTTGTTGTTGTTCATGCATGCATTTTAATCCACATCCATTTATTTCATGATCCAAGATTGATAGAATAGAAAAGTGTCTTTTCAAAGCTGGATTTCAACACATTAAAACACATATCAACTGAGCTAGTGTGATTTATACATACAAATATAATCCATTAATGTTAGGAATCATTGGCCTAATACAAATTTTACAGTTATCAGATCTAACTCTTGTGAAGTTTATTGCTTTATCATTATATTGGTTTGGTTAGTATCAGTCCCAAACAAACAATACACACCTGTGTAATCTAGCTGCCGTCATCTGTTTTCTCGACTGAAAAATAGATAGCAAAGCATAGAAAACAGACAGAGTAGCTAGAGTAACATGTTGAAAAAATCATAATATAGAATTTTCAAATAAAATTAAGATTATTTTCTTATTACCAAAAAAATAGTCAATTTATTCATAATCACTAAAAAATTGTTATTTATTTCATATTTACCATAATATTCAATAAATACATATATTGAGCAAAAGATACGGCAGTGTTTTTACTTAAACTAAAACCATGTAAATTTCTTTTTGTATTTACAGAAATAAGCACAATTTGGTTCAAAAATATTATGGAAATATATTTAAAAATAGGCAAAATATTGTGACAACGTTTTTGTTGCTAATTTGTTGCACAGGGTAAATGAAAACAATGATAGCTGGTTACCATAGCAATACTGTACTGCAGACACATTAGAAGATAGGAATATACATCTCATAGCATTGTGCAATGATTAATGCAACAGATATATCAGTATGTAGCTTTGCTTCTCAGCACCCCCCCCCACCCCCCCCCCCCAACATAACAAAGAAATATAGCAGACATATTAACACAATTTTATTTTTACCTTTGTTAATTTTGTAAACATAATAGCATGATTAATTTCAAATTTTACAGAGAGAAACTCTGTCGATATCACACACAACTTCATCACTGTCCAACATAGTCATAGTTATCTAAAAATAGCTATCATTTGAATAATTAATTTAAGAGAGAATATTAATTAAAACAACTGTCTACTTCTTACTCCATTCTAGGTCACATATAAGAGCGATATGATCTGATGGAAAAACTACACTAGGTAGAGCAGTATGTAACGATAATTCTTCTTCAGTTGGCATTGGTATAACTTGTGATACATCAAAGTTTCCATCCACAAAGATATGGTCTATTGCAGCTTTGAATCCGGCAACATAGTTTGTATATTCCAGAAGTCCACATGCACTTTTAAACTCAAGGTCATGATTTAAAGTGATATCTGCACAGTATTCATCTTTACCAGCTGAAAGGAAGAAAAAAAAGAATATGCTGATTAGTAGTAGCTAATTTTCTTGCATTAAAATATATTCTACTTTTATTGAAATAAAGAAATATTATCACTGTACCCAATGATGTACTGTAAAATGACTAATTTTCACTGGGTTTTAATTTTGCTTATTTCGCTGACTGGAAAATGCGCTAAATTAAAACCCAGTAAATTTAAAATTTAGCATAGAACACATTATCTAAATGATAAAACCATGAATTCAAAACCCACTGAATATGCCTGAAATGGTGAATCAGCGAAATTTAAACCCAGTGAAAATTAGTCATTTTACAGTATGTCCATACTCCACATGGCACAGACTTCACGGGATGTGATTGGTTGTTGCGTATGATTGGTTACTTAACCAAGTACCAATCTGCATAATTAGCATGCACTGATTGTCCTGTATGTGATTGGTTACTTACCTGAAAATCAATCTGCACAATTAGCATGTATTGATTTTCATGCATGTGATTAGTTACTTACCTGAAAACCAATCTGCATAATTAGTATGCACTGATTTT